TGGGGGGGGGGGGATTTTACACTGTACTTTGTGCTAATTATTGAGAAATTTTAAGCCCCATGGCTTGTTCTAGCAAACAGTGCGATATTTTGATATGAGCTTAGTTGCTGCGCGTCGAGTCTCTTGTCGCATTTCAGCTTAGCAGAAAGCGTCTGGGAGTGATTAACTAAAGCGACAATATGGTAGAGGTTATATCCAGGGCCAAGGTTCATGAATCACTCTTCTTTGCCTTGCTCCTGCTTTGCTGATCTTGCTGCTCAGAGCCAACTGCTTCTCGCGCCAACGATTCGTCCATTTTCTTCCCGAAAATCTTCGCACTGACCTGCAATGCCGTTCAAAAATTGGCTGTCAGCATATAATCTTGCAATAATAGTGGGAAAACTAGACGCACGTTGCGTACATATAAGTCTGCGCGTTCGAGTCCGTTGTCTTTGCTGCGCTTGTACTGAGCGAGAGCGTCTTCTAGCCTCCCACCTGCACCAGAGTAAGTGGGCAGATGTGACGCGGACAGTGAACGAACTCACAAGCTTCTAGCACAGCTGCGTAATTGAATGCAATTTCGGGATCGTCTGGTGCAAGAGTGGTAGCAACTCTGCCGGAAGTGATCAGTCAGGGTATATACACCATCTGGGAAGGCTGACTGACTCGAGATGGTGCAAGGCCAGGTCAGGTCGGCTCTCGCGCCGCAGGATGTAAGCACTAGCGAGATCTGCGCTCGTTCGCTGGTGAGTAGTTCTAAGTGAAAGCATGAATGCGTACTAGTATGCGCATCCGCACTGGATGGGTCGAAGGCTATCGATTCCTTCCACGCATCAATAGCCTGTTTGTATGACTCTAGAACGAGTGAGAGGAATTACCGGTCCGTCTCCTACGACAGTTTACTAGGACGTACTGAGGTGGTAATGCGTTACGCCAAGGTTGAACAGAGAGCTTGCGGTCCGCTTAATCTCGACGCTACGTTCGTACAGAGCCTGAATAACAATGGAAACAACCAATTAAGCCATTCTCACATAAAAGGCAGACAGCCGGGACAAACCTTAGCACCATGCACGTCACCCTGTTCCAGTTTTTGTGTACCTTCCTCCAGACATTGCAGCGCCTCCATCTCGGCAGGATCCTGAGTAGATGAATGAGGTGTTGTGGAGGTGGCCCAGCCTGCACAGACCCGACATGGTGAGACCAAAACTTCTGTGCAGGATATTCACTCACGTCTGAATGATACAGATACGCTTCTGTACGACTGCAAGCATGGTCGCGGAGATGGTTGAGATATCAAAGATCTAGCGCAAGAGACATTTCTTCTCTTGACAGCAGAAGTAACACATTCTTTTGTTAGCCTCCGCGCTGAGACGACCGCTGTGAACATAGCTGTGATACTGCGAACGCGGTGGCAGATCGGATACCCAGAACTTAGAAGCGCCGGATACGCGCGGGCGCGCGAAGCACGTGATGTGAATGTCGATGTCGCGGCAGACGCGTCACGGTCAGATCAATCGAGCCACGCCCTTTCAGCCTTAAGCTAGCTTGCTACTTGCTTGCCCTCATTTACCATAACCAGTGATCTCCCCTTCTAGTCAAGAGAACTCTGCTAATACCCACTGTATATCTGCGTATCTGAAGTCACTAACTTTACCAAAGCACTTTATCGATGGTCATCATAAACGCGTCTGCGGACGCGTTCCTTCTCACTGCAGCCGCTATCCTCATCCCTAGCATTTATCATCTGCGACGGCAATACCGGAAATCAGCTTCGGACCCTCCACACCGGATATCTCTTCATTTTGTCCTCTTAATGCACACACTGTATATCATGTTTGTTCTATTCCTCCGCTGGCCGCCAAATATCTTTAAGAGCTTCCACATGCCCCTCACCATTGCGCCGGACGCTATGCGTCGCACTGTACTCGAACGCGCTGGGTTAGACGCACATGGCCCTCTTCCGAAGCCGCTAGACAATCTCATAACCCGTCTGTCATCGTTCGAGATGCGCACACTCTATGTCAGGTCCTTGCCGATGTCCTCCGTAGCATCCGTTCGTGCTCATTCGTGCGTTCATCTTTATATAGGTTTGGGCAAATTGTCGTCCAAGATTGCGAACATTGCAGGACGTTCGATGACTACGCTGTGTACGCTCTACCGCACGCGCTTTTTGCGTATATTCGGGAGGCAGCAGTTCTTGGCCTCTTGACCATTGTTGGTAGCGGTCGCGAGCGCTGGAGGACATATGTGGTGGGCGCGCTCGCAGTGACAGCTGTCCTAGAATGCTACTGGATATCTACCGTGACGGTACGCATTCCGAAGGATGGCAGGAACGTGTTTATGGTGCGTGTATCGAAAAATGCCACTGGAGAAGTTGCATAGGGCTCATATAATTATATCTTCGTACAGTGGCACGACAACCTGTGGATTCTGCGTCAACTCGTTTTTCTATTACTTTCTATCGTCACTCATCTATTGCCATCGACCAGTCCTCTTGTGGATCCTGCCTCACACGCACTCGCAACACACAGCGCTCTGGAGCAGAGTGTGGTACGCTTAGCAACGTTAAGATACGCGCGAAGCGCTGTGATGCGCCAGCCCCTTTTGAGAGCCGCCGCATCGGAGTGGTGGGACCGACAAAGACTAGAGGGTGAGTGGGCAAGATCGGACGAGGCGGTACAGCGAGTTGCCGAGCAGCTGGGGCGAGGATTTGTGGAAGGCCAGGGAGAAGGTACACTTAGAGTGAAAGCAAAAGAGACAGCAGCTAGAATAAAAGCCAGCTTGCTCGCGCAACCGGCCTCGTAGGTGGACATCACTGAGTTGAATTACCTTTGAAAGTATTAGACTATTCGAGAGATATTATATGATTTGTGTACATCGTTCATTACAGGTACAACGGATGCATTCAGATAGCAACTATGACGGACAGCGAAATGTGAAGACCGGAAACACCGGACACCGGGCTTGGCGATCAGACTTAGGACCTCCAAGAATCCGAGTCCGACCGACTATTATTGAAATTCTCTCTCGAGCCTGAGCTCGTCCCGTGTCGTTCAAAACCTGGTCTGTCTGACCCGTACAACGGATTGTGCGAGCTGCGGCCAAACCTGGAGCCTGAACCACGGCAACCGCGATAGTCACCGTGGCCGCGTGTCTGGTGGCCGCGATAACCTCTAGTATGATGTCCTCTTCCCTTTGGTCCGGTTGCGGGCGTCGACGCCGGAGAAGGAGCATCTTGTATGCGCTGCAAGATGCCGGATATATCGTCGTACGTGTAGACTGGCGATGGATGATCAGAGGGACGCAGACTTAGCAATCGTGAGTAGCCTTCATAGGGAGATGGTGCTTGATATTGAGAGTGGAAGCGTTCGAGCACGGACCTACCGTGCTCGGGGGTCTTGATAGTAGGATGATTGATCCCTAGTCGCACGATCAGCGTGAGTGTTGGAAGACGGATGGGTGCGCACTTACGCTCCTGCAAACGCTGGGCACAGACCTACGAGATAACGATGAAGAGAATGGCGAGTCCGAATGTCCCGCGGGCTTACCTCGTACGGAGTGTCGAAGACAAGAATCCATACCTGAGTTCCAGGAAACTCATATGCCATATTGATCCACGTCGCACGCTGCCTGTGCACTATGAGCGCGACGCAGATACATCGTCCCCAGCAGGGGCTGCACGACGTAAGACCTAGGGCTACTCACCGTGGATCAAAGTTCGTGCGGTCAATGCACACGGAGAGACCTGCCCGGAGGGACTCTCGCGCTAGTACTTCGACCCTCCGCCTGTCTCCGGCAAGATCATCTTGGTTGCATCGGCGGAAATGGGGAAGTTGTTGTTCAAGTGCTTGCGCGAAGGTCGACTGGGGGAACAATGCACGCTGTTTCATGCGCCATGCGAACGACAACGTACCTTTCCTGAGCCTATCAGACCCACTAAAATCAGGACAATCTGTGATTCTGTCGTTTGCATTGTATGTAGGGATGTCAAGGACCGTGAAGTAGTAGACATCGCGTAATTTGGAACAGATATATACGTGAAATACATCATGTGGTATAATGTCTTGGAAAAGCAGAGTGCAAGGTTCAATGGCGTAGTCGGTTATCGCGCCTGTCTCACATTGTTCACAGGAGGTCCCCGGTTCGAGCCCGGGTTGAACCAATTTTTATCCAGGATAGATTATGCTCCTGTTCCGCTTACAGCTGGCTTGCAGCTTCAAGCCGAACTTTACACTGGCAGGTCGCTTGCACAGCCGGAGGCGCGCACTGTCTCTCCTCTGCCATTTCTCATATCACAGTTAGCTTTCGTTTTTCCTCTTGTACTCTCCTTCTCTCTTTTCCTCGACGATGCCCCCGGTGGACAACGATGGCACTCACCTCGACGACGATCTCATCTCACAGCCGATATCCGTCCCCGACTCTGGAGACGTTGGCGAAAGCGGGAAGCTCAAGATGATTATGCAGCTCCTCAAGAAAGTCGTTGGTGTGAAGGATATTGCTTCGATGTAAGATTTCTGCTTTCCGCATGCACAGTCCCTGACTCTCTCGATGCTCAGGCGATTATCCTTGCCGGCGTCACTACTGGAGCCCATCCCTAACCTTGAGTACTGGCATTACCTGGATCGCCCGGACCTCCTGGCGGCGTGAGCGATAATTTACGGCTCTTTAGACCCCTGCATCCTCACTCGTTTTGACAGCATAAACGACTCCGATGATCCATTTGAACGCATGCTTGCGGCCCTCCGATTCGCATTCTCCAAGGACCTTAAGTTCATTGTAAGACGTTTCTCTTTCTCCTGAACCGTTACCGCTCTTCTCACGTCAGAACCACAGCGAGGCAAAGTCTGCAAGCCATACAACTCGGTCCTCGGCGAGCATTTTCGCTCACACTGGGACGTGATACCTGTATCATATCCATCGAACCCAACGGAACCACCCATCCAACACCTGTATCTCGTCCCTCCGGCAGCGGAATCAACGTACACGTCCCTCGCGCCGACATCCGCTCAAACGCCGCGTATGTCGGTCTCTGAGACCGCTAGTGTTGCCAGCGGGCGCAGCATGACAAGCGGAAAGAGTGGGAGCCTGGTATCCAAGGCCGCATCCACCCCAGGGAAGAGTACACCAGCGACGTCGCCCAGCCTCGTGGAAATGAATCCCGACGCAGACATTTCCAAGCTCAGCCTCGATGATAATGATTCCAGCCGTGTGGAACTTGTAGAAGCAAACGATGTACCCGAAACAGCAGGGAAACCGCGCGTGCGGATCACATATCTTACTGAGCAAGTCTCGCACCATCCACCAGTCTCTGCATACTATGCGAGCTGTCCGAGCCGGAACGTGGAGCTGTCGGGAATCGACCAAATTTCTGCGAAAGTATCGGGGACGACGCTGCGCATCGTCCCGGGATCGCTGAATAAAGGTTTGTTCGTCAAGTTGACCGGCGGCGCGGGTGCAGGGGAGACGTACCATATTACGCATCCGATTGGGTCTGTAAACGGCATATTCAGGGGCAGCTTCTACATCACGATGGGCGAAGCAACAATCATTACATGCACTGGGGGCAATGGAGGAGAGAAGCTCCGCGCGATCATTGAGTACAAGGAAGAGTCGTGGTTGGGCAAAGCGCAGTTCCTCGTCGAAGGAGTCATTCACACATACGACCCAGACGAGACGCAGTACAAGGACTGGACACGCGTTAAACACGTCCCGCGCTCGTGCATACTGGCGACATTCGACGGATCGTGGAAGCACAAGATCCGCTGGAAACGTGCCAATACACCGACCTCTGATTACGCCACTCTGATTGACTTGTCAGGGTTGCACATCATCCCCAAGAGCGTGCGGCCGCTGGAGAAACAGCTTCCGAACGAGAGCAGGAAGCTGTGGGAGAACGTGACAACCAGACTGTTGGCAAAGGAATATGGAGAAGCGACCAAACACAAGTTGGCCATAGAGCAACGACAAAGGGATGAGGCTGCTGAGCGGAAGCGGAGAGGAAATCAGTTAGTATTCGGTTGCATCTTACAGCTCTATTACTCATTTGTCCATCCTCCGCAGATTTGTCCCGAAATACTTTGAGAGTGATTACGAGACTGGCATCCCGATTTTGACCGCAGAAGGACAGAAGGCCCTCGAGGAAGAGCTCAAGGAGGACATCATATACCCGCTCGAGAGCATCGATGCTGCGCTGTCCACATAGAAGTTTACATCTCACGATCTAATGACCGCCATCTCACGCGCTCCTGTATCTTCGCGCTATCGTTCATGTCGATCATGTCTTGCTACCTACATCTCGTTACTACACGTTCCTAATACACAGCGGATGGACGCTGTTTTCTTGGGATTGGGATGAGATATAATTGGACCCACTACAATCTTCACAGATTCATTATGTTTCTCAATTGTGTGGCAACAAGGATCCCAAAAATAGTAGCCAAAAACTGACTGAGGCCGGGATCGAACCGACGACCGCCTGTGCCCATCATGTAAGACAGGTGTGATAACCACTACACCACTCAGCCAACTTTAAATATGAAGAGCATGTAAATAATATTTTAGTTGATAGCTCAAGTTGGATTTAAGTTCCGAGTTACTAGCTACCTTCAAGCTGTCGTCTCCTGAAACCAACAATACCTACCGCACATATACTCTGAATGGTGTAGTATGTATCATTATGTGTGGTCTGGGTGTTGGTCCCTGAAATGATCTAATATAAAGGTCAACATTTACAACATGGACCCCCTCGCCATTGCGTATGTTTCCATTCTTACAACAGTGTCGCATCCGTTAACAGTTTCATGATCAGGATGGTGTGCGATTTTTTCCATCCCAATGTCGGTGGTGTAGAGAGTCATATATACATGCTGAGCACGAATCTGATTCGTCGAGGGCACAAGGTGATCTCCTCTCATCCCGCCTGGCGGGAAATACTAATGGGAGTTAGGTAGTCGTCATAACTCATAGCCACTCACCGGATCGTGTTGGTATCCGGTGGATTCTGCCCGCGCTGAAAGTATATTACTTGCCCTTCTCAACCATCGCATCTTCGGCCACACTCCCGAATTTCTTCACCTTTCTTCCGTATTTGCGGACCATCGTCATTAGAGAAGGCATCGGACTCATTCACGCTCATGCGAGTTTGTCTTCACTGGCCCATGAAGGCATCCTACATGCACATCTTATGGGCGTGCGCACCGTCTTCACTGATCACAGTCTATTTGGATTTGACGATGCTGCGAGCATCCTCACCAATAAACTACTGGAAGCTGCGTTAAGGAATGTAGACGCAGTAATCTGTGTGTCTCACACAGGGTAAATCATTAACAGCCAATAAGGGGCGGCTGTGATTGCTCATGCCGACTTTTCCAGTCGAGAAAATACTGTTCTGCGTGCCAAGTTGGCACCTCACACTGCGTATGTTATCCCAAATGCACTTGTTGCGGATCAATTCAGGCCTGCCGCAAGCATGCAGCCTAGTGATACAGGTAGGTTGCTCATGTCATAAACGAGTGATCCTATTCAGGTCTTCTTTAGTGAATGTAGTGGTTGTCTCAAGGCTTGCCTATCGTAAAGGTATTGATCTTCTTGTGGCGACTGCACCCAGAATTTGTACATTATTCCCCAACGTAAGATTTATTATTGGTGAGTTTATTTGCAGTTAAGTACTCTCACTACTAAAATCAGCATATAGGCGGGGATGGTCCCAAGTTGGTCGATTTGCTGCAAATGAGAGAGAAACATACGTTGCAGGATCGGATCGAGATGCTTGGGCCTGTTCGTCATAACGATGTCCGGGATGTGTGTGTATCTTTTGGTGCGCTGTTTTGGTTACTATGTGTGACCCTTGGCTCCCAGATTCTTGTGCGAGGATCCATATTCATGAACACCTCCCTGACCGAGTCATTCGGAATTGCCATACTGGAGGCAGCTTGTGCTGGTCTATACGTTGTGTCTACCCGAGTAGGAGGTGTCCCAGAAATTCTGCCCGAGGATATGATCTCATTCGCACACCCTGATGAGGACGGTAGGCTGCTTGCTCTTGTATAGATCGCGTTTGCAGCCATTGATCATTGTGAGCCATGCAGATGTCGTCCGCGCTATGTCAGAGGCCATTCAATTGGTAATGTCCGGGAAACACGACCCACATCGCGCACACGAGCGGATCAGAGGCTTTTACGGCTGGGAAGAAGTCGCAGAACGTACAGAGAAAGTGTATGAGTCAGTTTTAGAAGTGAAACCTTATGATTTCTGGACCAGAATAGAACGGTGTGTGTAATTCCTCTAAGTATATCTACTCCTAAAGCTGCTTCAGGACTCTTGAGCTAGGACGATTTGTTGGACTTATCTTCGCAACCATCATGATCGTTGATTGTCTTTTCTATTTGTTCCTGGAGAGGTGGATTCCAAGACAGGACATCGACAAGGTACAAATGGGCTGGGACCAAGACCGGTTCACCAAGGTGCGGAGCTTTTTGATGACCCGCTATTTGCCTCTGATCATCTTTAAGTAGCTTGCTAGCAAGAAGCCAAGGCGAAATTCTACCAGCAGCAATGCTACTCCAGGGGTCACGAATAATGCACTTGATTCTACCTGATCATTGCCCCTCCGGCTACCCGGGGTGCTATATGACATCGACAGGTAAAGAAGTCAGGCGGATTTCCGGTCTTCTTTCCGTCAATTGGTCAATCGATTGTCACTGTTACAGTATCATTATGGTCTATGCGATTCAAATGCGTTTATTGCGATGGCGAGTCTCAGCTCCACGCGGGCCTTGCCTCGGAGCCTTCTGCAAATTGATCCACCGGTCGGGGCCGCCGTCGGGAGCAGTTAGGCAGTGCAGACTATATTTATGTGAATAGCTCCGCGAGGCTCGCAATGCGCATCATGCATATACATCCGAATGTTATTCAAGTGACGCCGGAATCTGGATTAGTTCAATGGTTATCACCCTACCATGGTATCTATCAATCCTGTGCGTATCCGCCGTATCATGCTGGCTCATCTGGCCTTCGAGCCCCCGTCAAGTCTTATCTTACCGTTTTTCTTAGTCCACACATGCTGCCACATCCATTTATACTTGTCAGAGAAGCTTGATTGGCCCCTGCAGCGCTCAATATGTGATGCATCCTTATCTGAGGAGATATTTGATCTTTGAGCCGCTGGGAGTCGTCGCTATCTTTACCCGAGCTGCCCTGATGTTCCACGTGACACCCCGTTAGAAATGATCTAGAGATGTATTTTATCAAGCCTTCTGTTAACCCCAAGTTCGTGCTCAACCTCCACCTAGCAGCACGCCAAAGGTTGCTCGATCACCCCTCGCTATGGACTTGGTTGACGAAGATAAGAAATCTCAACTGGTCCAGGAATCCAGCGAAGATGTTCACCCTCCTCGTTCCAAAGCTCAGGTGCTGTTGGATCGAGTAACTTACGTGCTCACCAAGTGGGGCATTGAGACTAATGGGTATGTCGTCAAATATTGTGCGTGACCTTCCATTTACTTGATGGTGCATGCTCGTGATCAGGATACAACCGATCCCACAAGAGGAACGAACGGACACTAGATTATACCAAATGTTCTTCGTTTGGTTTTCGTGCAACTTGAACGTCTTGTCGTACGTGGGCGTAACGTATGGGCTAAGTCCACCGGCTCATACTGTTCTATTCCAGATTTGGTACTGGTTCTGCTGGACCAGCGTTCTTTGGTCTGGGTGTACGGGAGTCGCTAATAATCATCCTAATCGTCGATCTCGTGTAAGTCACAGGACTGGCGATTTGCGCTGAGCTGAACTCACTTGAGAATCACAGATCTTGTATTTTTCCAGCATACTTGTGAGTCCACTACCTCGCTTCCGAAATCACATACAGACTAGTGTCACAGTTCGCTGTTCGGTCCCAAGCTCGGAATGCGATCTATGGTCCAGGCACGTTATACCTGGGGATACTATGGTGCCATGATCCCCAGCGCGCTCAATGTCTTCTCCATGCAAGGATTTTTGATCCTGGATTGTATTATTGGAGGCCAGATGTTAGCAAGTATATCGAATGGCCACCTGAACGATACGCTTGGGATCGTAATCATAGGCGTAATTTCGCTCGTGGTACGTTCCTATCAGGGATTTGTTTTCCCCCTTTTAATTTGATGGGTCCCGCAGGTTACTTTCTTCGGTTATCGTGTGATACATTGGTGCGCTCTAGTGTGTTGCCAGCGTTATTGTACACCCTAATCATCGCTTTTCAGGTATGAGAGTATTGCGTGGATCCCCAATGTCGTTACCTTCATCGTCATGCTTGGTGTTGGAGGAAAGCATCTGGTCGTTTCGGGGCCACCCGCCCCAGTATCTGCGGCAATGATCATTACATTCGCCACAACAGTTGCGTCCAGTGTTATCAGCTGGTGTACCGTAACACCTGACTATGGTGTCTACCATATACCCAATGCTTCAAAGTGAGCGTGTGTCTGATATACTTTCTCGTCCTGAGCTGAATGACTTCTTTAGATTCAGAGTATTCTTGTACACATACCTCGGATTTTTCACCGCAAGCGTATGTTTTTTCGGTGATAGCTGATTTAAAAAACTTCCTTACATTCACACAGATTGTCTCTCACATGCTCGGTGCAGCATTTGCGGCCTCTGCCCTCTCAGATCCTACGTGGGAAACAGGATTTGACAATGGCAACAATGTTGGTGGCCTTGTTGCATCTGTTCTCGCACCCGCGGGTGGCTTCGGCAAGTTCTTGGTCGTCTTGATCGCCCTCTCTATACCCAGTGCATGTGCGCCTACAATGTATACCTTCGCATCAAGTCTCATGACCGTAAACTACTACTTCGCCAAGGTTCCCCGATACGTGTTTGCCATAATCTCAGAGGCAATGCAAGTTTTTTTATATTTTAATAAGACCGATTCTGTCACTGATCATCGTTCTCAGTCTGATCCCAGTGGGCGTAGTCGGCGCGACACGCTTCTATGCTACCTTCACCGATGTCCTCAGTGGGTCCATCTACCGCGTTGTTTCTGATAGTCTCTAAATCGTTCTACGTTCAGATATCATCGGTTATTGGAGTGTGGTCCATTCAGTTATGATTCTCATGGAACATTTCGTATTCCGTAGGGCGAGCTTCAAGGCATATGTTTTGGAAGATTTCGATCAACCTCGCCGATTGACACCGGGCGTGGCGGGCGTTTTATCATTCTTATGTGCCTTCGGGATTATCATCCCATGCATGAACCAAGCTTGGTACGTTGGCCCTATCGCCAATGCCGGGAGCGGGGACATTGGAATCATCGCGGGCAGCTGCGTGATCTGTATTGTTTATCCGGTGTTGAGATCTATTGAGCGAGTGTTTTCGAGAGAGACACGAGTACAAAAGTCATGATTGTAAGGGGTAGTGCTTCGCCTCATGTTTGACATAGAAGCAATGGGCGATCCAATTACATTGTACATCTACATCCGGAACTACTGATACATCACAATCGCCACCGCTGCATATGGCGTTTATACCTAAGCCAACAAGCGCTCATTGTAGAGAGCTCTGCAGTGGCCGTTATATTGACAAACTGTACTCATATAAGTGCACATAAGGGTTCTATATCAAGCATCTTCTCTGCCGTGACCACTCGTGACCCAAGTGCTGCGGGGCCTCAGGATTTGAAGAGTGTCAGACATGTCCGAGCCCCAGGGCGATGCACAAGCTAACCCCACTCGGAATCCCAAGGGGAGAAATCAATACCCAAACTGTCGTACGTCATACTTTTGCTTACTTTGGCTCGCATCGAATACACTAGTCTTTGACTACAATGACTCAGCCCCTCCGAACGATGAAAGGGTCGCAGCCTTGCTTCATGAATATCATCGTCGTGGTATGACAGATAGAGAGAAATTAAGCGAGCTATTTATGAGCGAACATAGAATTGAGATCAGGTATGTACAATTTCTTCTAGACGCCATACTCTCGTCAAACGTTCCAGTTTCTAGTCCTTCATCGATTGTGCGGCGCAGGAAAGCTCTTAGGCTCGGAGGCTGTGTTGTCACAACACGCACAATGGGCAAGGCACAAAAGCGCCAGCTTATACTAGACCAATTGGCGAAGGATCCTGAGAGAAAATATGGACCTCGAATGATTAAAGAACGTATTTTATCTGAGACGGGGGTCAGCCTAACACGGTCAGTATGGTCCCAATGACGACCAGCGTCGAGTTAATTATAGCATGTACTCTAGGGATTACATTGCAAATGAAATGCGTCTCCACGACCCCGAGGGTTTTGTCATGCGTGCACCTACCACCAGGAAGAGACAGTGCGAAATCCGTCTCGCTCTGGAGTCTATTACTGCCGATCTATTACTGAAACGTCAATCAAATTATAATGGGGTGCCTTGACGCATCTCCCGTATTCAACGTATGTGTATGAGACAGTCATTTGTTCAACTGTGCCCTGACGTGATTGACAAAGGTCTACGGGATGAAGCATTTCATCAATTCCTCATACTCGCTGTTAAGTAACGGGTTCACGCTGGATGACTACAGCAATGTGTATCATACTTCTCCCCTCATTGATGTTGGCGGATGACGTCGCTGTGTTCTGTTGAGCAACAATTTTTGTTGAGATATTGACCTGAGCGTCTCTCAGATAGCTATATCGAGGCTAGACCATTTCCCCCTATTCCGAGCCTGTCGCCTGGCGAAGTGATATTACGATACCACACATTGTGATTTAACACAATTCAACGACACCAAATGTAGGTTCACGGCCGCGTCTAGCGGGCTACTATTCATAAATCAATATCAGATAAAAGCACTACGACATACAGACAGTAGTCATAAGTGACATCCATATATCAGAAAGTAACATGTTCTATAAGCCAGCGCAAGCGACATGTACGTTGAATGCATTATGTCGATAAGATGACACTAGTCGTCATGGGAGCTACTTTGGAGTATCCTGATCTACGACATGTGGGCTTCACCTAGGTATGAGTTTGTATCGACTGAGGAGAGTAGAGCTTCCGTTCTGGTCGATCGAGGGCTGATAGAGCATTTAAAAGGTTCCGGATGACTTTCACAGATGATTGATCGGGACTCTGATTAGTAGACTGCATCGACACCTGTGCACAACCTTACCTGACTGTTCCATTTCCATAATTGATGATAGGTTCGTTTACGACACCATTTTCGACTGCCTTGGATATATCGAGAGTAGCAAGTATAGTAGCACACGTTAAGAAAACCGACGCGTCGGCAAAATGCTTTCCTAGAGCATTGTCAATGTAGTAACATGGGATGGCGATCGGATGGTGCATACCAGCGCAGATACTATAAAAAATATTGTTAGCCCATATCAGTCTCAAGACAACGTTGCTTATGACCGACGAACCGTCTACCAAATCCAAACATGACCTTCCGAGGGTCCATCTCCGGTTCCTCTCCATGAGATTTGACGAACCTATCAGGGTTAAACACGAAAGGATCCTTATAATTGGCAGGGTCATGAAGAATATGCCTATATTGGAAGAATGAGCAGAAGGAGCAGGAAAAAGGTTGCACGTACCAAGCGTTCGCCGTGACTAATGTCCCCTTTGGAAGAACGAAATTCAGATATGTGTCGTCTTGAACAAGGCGATGTGTCACGCCTAACTCTAATCAGATCATGAGAAAAACTGCACACAGAACTTGAGCATACCAAGTGGGGCAGCAGGATTCCAGCGATGAAGCTCAGAACATACGGCATTAACGTAAGGGAGTGATTCTCGATCTCCAAGGGTAGGAAGTCTGTCGTTCCCAATGATGTTGTCAATCTCCATTTGTGCTTTCTTTTGTACCTCTGGGTAGCAGGTCATAGCGAGAAAAAAGCTGTGTAAAGTAGATACGGTCTACATGGGGTGTCAACACGCAAAGTTAACATTAGGGGAGGCACATACGGTATCAGCGCCACCTAGACAACGGTCCCGGAGACATCGCGTGTAATGAGAATATTGTTCTGTTTGACTACAGGATGGTATCTTACCCGCATACATGACACTAGCAGTCGTTTTGACCATGTATTGTTGCTCGCTACTTGGATCGCCCTCTAAATTGCTTGAGACAAAGCTAGGGATAGCAGTGCCGGAAGCCTACATAGGAAATCGGAATTCGAGTGAAGACTTAGAAATGAAATTCAATTGGCACTTTACCATCCGCTCTCTGACCATCGCGTAAGGTACTTCAACCATAGCAGACGTATCCCGAGCTGCAGCGAATGCCCTCCTTTTCCAACCAGCACCAGGAAGCCACGCAGGTACATGTTCTACTGCAAATATGATATATGATTAAAAGATTTTACAATGAGAACCAACTGAATACTTACATACAGGAAACATATCCGCGAGACGAGCACCCGGAGTCGACAGTTCAGAAAAGTGAGTCACGGCAGTATCTACAATTTCAACAAGTGGATCCTCATCTTCCGTCATCTCATAGCCATATGTTACATTTAGAATAACTGCTGCAGCCATCCTGTACCAATCACTAATTGTCAGATTAGCAGGGCATTATCTGTAATTCCACTCACCTTCTCAGTTGCTGATCGAGTGCCTTTGGTTGACGTATAATCCGCATGATTAGTTTTGTCACCTCGTGTTCCAAGACAGGTGCAAACTTCGTGATCGCGCTGTGACTTCCAATATAACGTGAAAGCAGCCGACGATGTTCGCGAAACTGTGCACCATACGGCGTCAACACTACAATTTGGTCCCAGCCAGCGATCTTGCCGATACTTGTCATTTGCGGACGATCAGAGTAGAGAGCGCTCCGGCGTTCCAATAGCTCAGTCGCATGGTCGAGAGAGTTGAGAATAACCATTGGCTGGCCAAACACAGTGACATAAACGATATCCCCTGGTGTTTACAGTAGTGTTCGCCTTAGTAAGTCGGTATCGAGATCTCATGAATTCAGAAAACCCACCCCATCTTTCACTCCACTGACTGAATATTTTCCAGTGGTGTGAAGTAGGCATGTCCAATGCATTGCCCATGAAAGGCCACCCCTTGGGTCCAGGAGGGAAGGGCCCCTTGCGCCTAGCCGCGATAAAACGACTCAGCAGAGCCAACCCTAGTATTGCCACAATGGCATCGAACGCATATAATGTATTGGGAGAGAACATTGTATAAGAGCGTGTTGAACAGTAAACAGCCTTTTCCCTGACACAGTGAGATGAAGATCTTACTACAGACTTGGACATGGTCCCTATATATACATTCTTGACTGCAGAGGGGCGGTAGTACGGTATACACACCCACAAGACAACATGACGTACTGATAAAGAATTTCCGAGCAACGGCACCAAGACAGGTCCAATCACGTTATCCAAGTAGTGGATTTATATCGCTGGAGTGTCATTCAATGTACCATTCTGATTAGTACATCTGAGGGAAGACAGTCGTGAGACTTAAGAGGGATAATTTTCGGCTCACTGACCTGCCTTTGATGTCAAACCATGACTTTGACTTATTCAGCGCTCAGGGCCGCACCATAATTGCACCATATAGACGACTCTCATACTCCGTATAAGTCAATCCCAAAGGGTCCCAGCAGCTTGGGCCATTCAAAAGTCCTTCGCGCAGAAACAGCATGATACAGCGTGACTACACGACAGTTGGCCAGACCAATCCCGAAGTATTGAGACCCAAACTTTGTTGTCTTCGTCGGAAATACGAGCTCTCGTGCCGGAGAATGACGTACATCGAAGACAGCATTATGTCATTCGGAATGTTGGGATGGGAGAATGCTGATTTTTCGAGTCTGAGGACAGGAGTGACTGATATTGTAGCATAAACATGACTGAGTAGAAGTCAGATTGAATAGTGAGAGGAACGATGATAATCACCTGGAAATCGACAGCCACAGATTGGTCTAGTGCCTAGGCTACTCCCGGTCGGACCATCACTCGACTCAGGCTATCTTGATACCAAGAAAGTGTGTCCGAGCATGAGCTCTAGAGATATGTCAGGATATGGAGGGAAGACATACGGGAGAACTCGTTTGCGTCATCTAGTCCACCAAAGGCTTCCAAATCTCAGCTTCTAGTCACTCGCACCGCATTCTTGGCTATCAGAGGAATCAGGAGCAAGAGCACAAGAAGTGGTCTCACGACTTCAAGATACGAGTGATATGTCGCGGACCGTTGAACCGTGACTCGTTTATTAATGATGAACTCGGCATGGGCTTTCAAATGAGTCTTGTGCACAGAGATAGTACCTGTCCCAGACAAATTCTCAGTACTTCAAGAACCAAAAAAAACCAATAGAAGAGGCCACATCGGCCGCATAACCGTGACGTCGCGAGTGCACGGCGCACGGCCGCGACCAAACTTAGCCAAATTGAAATGCTGCGCCACGATGGAGGAGGAGGATATATAGTTGAAGTGATCGAATTCAGGGGTATCATGCCTAGAGCCCGTCCAGGTACGAGATAAATTTGAAGCCTAAAATATTCCGGCTGCTTTCCGAGCAACAACGTAAACCGGCAGCCCGTATGGCCTGGCCAGTAGAAACTTATCACTAAAGTGTTGATATATGATTAGGTGCAGCAGTGTGAATTTTCCTTGCCCACACTTTTGCAAGTGAGATTTAATTATCAACACACTGTGACCAGCAGTTGTCCATTCAACAGTGATCAAGAAAATACTACGGTTCATCATTCTTGAAGCGCCTCAGCATCTAGGGAACGCAGCAATGCCTCCGCTTTTGTCGACCGAGGCATGATTGCACATTTGAACGGGCGGGGATGGCTACGATTAGAACCACAATACGATCGTGAGCTCAATAGCGCGACAATTGACTCAGCTTACCTGATTGTACCGGTCTGATAGTCAATAATGGGCTCGATTACTTTCCCATTCTCGATTGGCTTCGAGAGGTTGTATATGGCTAGTGTTCGTGCACATATCGTGAACAAAGTTGCATCCACGAGTTGAATTCCTGTATCATAATGAGCCACATCTAAAGATTAATTATATCGGAGCTACCGGCGCAGATTCTGGACGAGCAGATGATCAACGAATAGAGATCACCAATCAGAGGCTACAAACCGTCTTCCAAATCCAAACATGACATTGCGAGGATCCGACTCCGGCTCCCTCCCTTCTGAGGCTACAAACCGGTCAGGATTGAATTCCAGTGGATCTTTATATTTCGACGGATCATGGAGAATTTTCCTGTACAATCATTCAATTCATAGCGAAGTTCGGTAGACACCAACGCAAGGAGTACGAACCAGGCGTTCACAGTGAACAATGTGCCCTCCGGGAAATGGTAACCTTCGTATATATCGTCTTGCATGAGGCGATGAGTCACACCTAAGAAATTATAAGACGGGCAATACATAGCCTAAATCATGCAGCATACCAAGGGGAACGGCAGGATTCCACCGGTGGAGCTCAGTGCAAAGAGCATTAAGAAATGGGAGGGAGTCTCTGTCAGCCAGATTGGGAAGTCGATCGGTGCCAATAACTGTTTCAATTTCTAGCTGGGCCTTCTTCTGCACCTCTGGGTAGCAGATCATAGCGAGGAAGAAGCTGAGCATGGTGGTCAAGGACTTCAAAATGGTCAGCAAGCCATAGAAGGCCAGACCACGGCGACGTACAGTATCGGCGCCCGCTGACAACGAACGATACATCAAATACTGGGAATGCCCATAATACAAACAGATCTTACCGGCATACATTACACCTGCAGCGGTCTTCACAACATATTGGTGCCCCTCGTTATCGTCAGTCTCTAGACTAGTGGATGTAAAACTAGGAACGGCAGTGCCGGCAGCCTGTCGGTAATAAATATATACTGAATCATAAGTCCTACGTTACCATAACAACCTACGGGTATACCATTTGTTCTTTAACCATAGCATAAGGAACTTCAAGCATGGAATTTGTATCCTGTATAGCCTTCAAAGCCTTCCGTTTCCACCCGGCACCCGGCATCCATGCAGGCACATACTTCACTGAGGCGGAGATCTCAGTAGATGGAAAGGAGAGTACTAGCCACATACGTACTGATGGGGAAGATATCTGCAAGGCAGGCACCCGGAGTGGTCAGTTCAGAGAAGTGTGCCACAGCAGTATCTACGATGCGAACAAGAGGATCGTCTTGATCTTGTACCTTGTAGCCGTAGGTGATGTCAAGGATGACCGCGGCAGCCATCCTAGCGAACGAATTTGTGTCACAATTTAATGCTAGAAGCGCGACGAAAAATTATACACTCACTTCCTGATGAGTTGAACAACCATGTCTGGCTGATGCAGGAGACGTGCGACCATTCGAGTAACTTCCCGCTCTATGATTGGTGCGAAATGTAGTACATGGCTACGAGTACCCATCCAGCGCGACATTAGCCGGCGAGTGTCACGCAAATGCGCGTTATAGGGTGTCAATACGACAAGTTTGTCCCACCCGACAAGCTTGCCGATCACCGGGAAAGGCGGGCGATCGGAATAGAGCGTACTCCGCCGATTTAATAGCTCAACTGCATGTTCAAGTGAATTCAGAATAACCATTGTCTGGCCGAAGTTCGTGACAGATATTATATCCCCTGACATACAAATCTCATCAGATAGCTCGTCCGAGATAAAGCGTAACGGCGAGCGCTTACCCCACTTTTCATCCCATCGAGTGAACGTTTTTCAGTGGTAAGAGGTAGGCATATCTAGCACATTACCGATGATGGGCCAACCGTTTGGTCCAGGGGGAAGTACACCTTTACGTCTGCCCGTGATTGCATACTTGAGAAATACAAGTCCCAGCAATAGTAAGGCAACGTCTACGAAGTGCAGATAAGGGTGAGAGGGAGTATCAGACATAACTCTGCTTGGGCAGCTAGCGTGGCTCTTGGTTCTGGGGGAGGGAGATTTATACGGATAGAGAGCGCTTACATGATTTCGAGAAACGATCGAATACAAGAGGTCATAAGAACTCCGCTCAGTCCCCAGGTCGATCTTTGAACGCTACGCAGAAGAAATATTTTGCTGAGGTGGAAGATCTCGGCATGTGGTCATATCTAAAAAAGGACACGACTTCTGGGATGCCGATCGAAGCAGAAGCAAGACGAAAGCGTCTGAGACTCACTGTCTTGCAAACATGATTGGTCCAATAAGACGATATTTGAGCATCCTAGTGTCCTAGATCAGGGCAAACTCAGTAGGCACGAAGTAGATAAGTTCAGGAGACGTTCTATAACAAGGGCATGCGATTTGATTCGGATTCCCCACGTGCAGAGATGATTCGCCAAGCGAGACGTAAATAATTTAAAAAAGAACATGGAGGACGTACAAGGGATTCGCATGAATCATTTATGGATTGAATGCATTCCACACATGTGCCGCGGTCAAGATGTCAATGCTCAGCTTCTTTCGGACATCAGCGTATAACACATCGCAACATGTTCTGTGTCGTGAACGGCATTTACTATATGTACGGCAATGGACCTGAAGAGCATTATCAGGTGAGTGTAAGCGAGGACCCAGTATTACGACGCGGTGTATAAGTAATGGATTCGGACATGTACGCGATACAGTTAGCCTGCCATGTGAACTTCGCTAGGATTGTGCTCAGCAGGTTAGGTACGGGGTGATCAACTTTTCTACGTAACCACCATGGACGTCAGATGTGAAGGACAGATAGGATGAATACAGTGACACTCAACAGGGAAGAGTTGACCAGTGGGAGTGGAAGCCCACTCACCATCTCTCGGCCCCGTTAGTCTTAGGAAACTTGAAAGTTGCAGATAACAATATGATGCGAGAAGCAATACCATTTGAATCCAGGCTATTGGTATAAACTTGCACCAGCACTCGAAGCCTCCAATCGCCGCACGTCATAGGCCACGTGCACATTGCCTCTCTTCTGATGTCAAGTTAGTTCAATTCGACAAGCCCATGCATACGCTATCGGAGGCCCGTTCGTGGAGGATGGCACCAAGTCAAATCATCGCATTACAGTCGGTGTGCGAGCGCAATTGCAATGTAGCCCGTAAGCTGATGGCGAGGTTGACGAACGTCAAGCGCAGATCTTGCATTGATTCGCTGACTCGCTGAGTTTTCCACCCGTCGCCGAGTTCGAGACGCGAGTAAACGCGATCACATGCTCAACAGCAGTGAAGGACGCATTAAGAGGACCCCGGCATATCCTCCTAGAGCTCAGATCCACAATCATTACTTTTTGGCCTTTATGTCCGCGCGATTGTGGTACCTCAAATGACCGCATTCGGATCTAGATGGTCTCAAATGACCTATTTTTGTCCACATGAGTGATCTATACTCTAATAAATCACTAAAAATCGCCAAAAGAAAATTGCGCAAGGCCACATGTGCTCGTACACAACCAGTACACACACAACAATGTATCTAGAATCTTTCGGAATGTCATCGCAGCTCACTCTCGTCTGTTTTCATCCCATCCGATGCTACTTCATTGTTCCTGCTGACACTCTGACACTCTGATTCTCTTTGCCAATCAAGTTGGATAGTAGGTCATCCTTCTGCTTCAGTGACTTGCTTAGTTCTTTGACAGTTTGCCTGATTCTGTCTCGTTTTTCCAGGAATGTCCACATAAATCCCATAGAAACAGGGTACAACATCACCAAAAGAGTTTTTTGACTAGTGTGCAGGCCCAGATAACATATATGGTATCTGCACATGACGCAAGTGAGTACACAAGGTGTGTACAGGGAATTTAGAGTATTGTTGTAGAACCAAGTTCCGGGCGGGATATTGAGGTGTAACTGGTGCCTTGAGACAGACAAAGTTTGGCTGCTGCATCAACGAAACATTCGGAGGGTTCATGAGTATCCAAAGTATGCACCTGAGAGATCACAGAATGGTCAATGGGATAATAAAACTTACATTCCCTAGTCCTTGAATGTTGAAGTTCCGACTCCCTAAGAAGACGCATCAAATTTCAACAGAACCTGCCATATGGAACATATCGCTCGGCAGGTCCCACAGCTCCTGATTATTTGCTTAGATGCCAGTTATGTGAGCATCTTGCGGACAGTCACAGAGAGCTCTGTACCATTAGGACTCGCCGATTTCAATCTTGGGCATGAATAATAAGATGCCGCGTTGATATATTGGCATATTTCACTCCCAATTCGAGATGCGTCCAGCAGTGTCAATATTCAAAGGGAGAACTACTGTACTCAAAGGTAACTGGCCGAGGTAAATGCTGTGCATGGCAAGATGGGATGCTCAACTGGGACCAGCCCTGTCCGCACAGTGATCGATGCTCTGGTCAATAAGCCCACTTGTGTCCGCAGGAGGTATTGACGTCCGTCAAATTTTGGCCGAGTCTGTCCGCAACATGATCTAAGACAGACGACTTTTGGCCCCCAATTGTGTCCGCATTAGGATTTGAGCGCTTAGGCGATATGCCGGGGTCCTGCATTAAGCTGCAGAACCCAACTTAGCTGATTCGTGAGTCATATTGGTATCGCAAAAACTTAGTGCAACCGGAATGGAGTGGAGTATGCTAAAGCACGCTCGATGGAGGTCCAAATCATCATGCCAACGAATGCAGTCGAAAATAACATAAACATAAGCAATTCCCGAAGCGGATCATCGCACTCTGGCACTAGTTGAGAGATATTTCCTCCGTCTCGCCAACGTCGTCATCCACTGATTCTGGCATTAAATGAGGTGCAAACTCTTTGTCAACCGGGGGCGGAGGTGGCACCTCGACGCTCGATGGAGTGATCAATCCCACGGGCACTGAAGCCGCATCGTCGCTTTGGCTCGCCACAGGCGGGACCGGCGGCGTGGAAGGCGCAGGGGGCGGAAATCGGAAGTTCTTGCTCATTGTGCCCTTGCGCACGTGGTTGGAGAACCGCTGCTGTTCCTCTCTGTCCTCTTCTTCGGGCTCCTCCTCGGGTGTGGGTTCAAACCGTCTTGTAGGTCCCGGCGCGGAACGTGGCTGCGCTGGAGACGACGCAGATGCAGGTGTCGGGGGCGACGTTGATGATACTCGCTGTGGGGGCATAGACTGTCTGTTCTGGACGTGTTTTTGTTGCTGTCCCGGAGACCCGCTACGTGCATCGCGAGAAAGACTCGCCTGCGACATCGATTGCGGCCGGGAGTTCAGTGATACCGATGCGGGTGGGTTCGCACCCAAGTAGTATGGGTGAATGGGAACCATCCTGGATATACGTCAGAAAGTAGAGAGGTAAAGGATAATGTAGGGCATACTTTTTTGTCGAGTGGCAAGCAAGAATCCAGTGGGGTTGTACAATAGGGATTGTTAATTGCAGTGCTTTCTGGTACTCCACACCTGGTGCGGTCGTTAAACCTCCTGACGCCTGTGCCCCGCTTGGTGTCGCAGCCGGAGTTGTGCATACGAAGTGCGTGGTATCAATTTGGATCTTATCGTACCACTTCGCACCCATCTCACGCAACGCCATCTTCGCATTATCCAGCAGCACGGGGTCTTGCACGTTGCCAAAACATACAACAATTCCAGACGTGTCCGTCATAGTGTGAGTCCGAAGACGGAGTAGGTTCGATGGGAAGACACCAGCAGTGGTACGCAGAACGAGTTGGAATGTGTACTCGGTATCAACTTGTAGCCCAGAGAGCTTCGTGGATGTGTTCGTGAGAGGAGAGGGGATCGACGCGAGACGCTGCCGATTGCGGTATATGTCGAGCGAACGCAACTTTGCACTAGCCAGGTTGATTTGGGGCCATTCCAATGTCACAGAGGTTTGGGTGACATTGCGTAGCTGTGGGGACTACGTTTACGCGGGACGCAATCCGAATGTGACCGACGCACCTCAAGTTTGGGAGGTTCTGGAGACCTCGTCCCATACTTCTCCAAAATATCTTGTTGTAGCGACCAAAACTCCGATTCCCTTTTCTTCTCTTCCAATACGTTTCGCTGAACAGAGATATTCACGATGGAACCCGTTGTGGCGCCAGGTGGCAGCAACAGCGAGGGGAACTCGATGAGATGTGCGCGCTCTCCTAAGAGAATCTATGCATTTTCAGTCGAGACGAAAGAAACAGCATGGTATGGGCTTACGGCCATCCCAGCATCTGTTGGGAGATGTTCTTGTTAGAATCCAACTCTGAGGCTTCGATAATACATACCTAGTTTCCCCACTGTGAACATAAAACTCTCCTGTGAATGTACCATTTTATATCACTTGTCTTGAGGAGACACAGCTGTGCTATTGACTGCGTCAGAAATAGCAAATTAGAGGTTCGAAGTAGCAAGATGTAGCAAGATGTAGCCGTGAGCGTATACTAAATACTTCAGGTTGAGCCCAGATGCCTAAAACAGTGACGCTGAAGGCCGCGACAACGCAGTGTCGATCAATCACGTGCGTTCAGGCCTCAGGGCTCACTCATTGCTCAAGGCTCAAGCTCAAGCTGTAGACTCAAACAATTGCAAAACCTACTACAATGCTATTGCTGCTAGTGACTAGAAGACTATATGACAACTACGTGACAACGAGCATGCAATCTAATTATGCAAAACGTACAGTGTCCTTTTAAGTACCCAATTTTCGCCCAGTCCCCCAACTATGCCCGGCCGCCTGGGCCTCATTTCTCACTGCCCGCGGTGGTACAACATGCACACCACCTCCTGCGCCGGAATCTCTGCCTCCGCCGATCAAATTGCGTAACCATATCGGAGCTGTGCCTAGTCTGCGCAAAATCCCGCTATCCCAAACTCCCCACCACCACAAGTGACCGATAATCGCTCCCGAGATGCTTCTCGCTGCAGCCGCCCGCCCGCCCATCATGAGGTCGAACGCAATTAGGGCAAAGGGTAGGTAGAGCACGGGGAAGTTGAATAGCCCAAAGAACGATGTCTGCGAGCCAGGAGGAGCAAGCCGGGAGGTAAGGTAAGTGAGCGCCAAGAGAAACGGCCGTGTATGGACGAATGATTGGAGAGGGATGTTGAGTGCCTGTGTATTGCATAAGATACTGAAGCAGTAATGAAGACAGCGATCAACTGACAATGATACCGATACCAGAGAGAAACGTCTGCCAAACGTAGTCCGCAACTCGTCCCACGTAGTATTGAGACTCCAGCTGGTTCGAATTTTGGCTGAGACAAATTAAACGGAAATTTAGCAGTACAAACGAAAGAAGACATACTAAAGCATCACGAGGTCGAAGATATAACCAAGTCTAGGACCTTTTCGTACACAGTGTTGTCAGCAAGACCACCATAGTATGCCAAATGCAAAGAATAGCGTTTACCCCCGAGAAAGAAACTTGTGAAAATTCGCCATACCTAAAGATATAAAATGCGTCAAGTCAATGACAAACGCATCACGTCGTCCTTGGAACGTACTTGAAATTGCTGTATCACCAATTCTTTCACGAATACGATCTTGTCAGGAGAAAGACTTTCAAGCATAACCGGTACAGACACTACAAGATAAGCACCACAAAAAAACCGCGTCACAGATGGGATTTTACGGATTTCATTGACCAGAGACATTGTAACTGAAGCAGAATGTACAGGCAATTGGAAAGAACAGCTTGAGCGAGTAGGTCACTGACTCGGCTAAACAGCGCTGTGCCGCAGTTGAGTCTCAAACTTTGATCTGATCGGGAAGATGCTGATTGGCACGTGATTATAGGCTTCAAGTGGCTCCAAGTTCAACCAACTCGTTGAAAATGAAACAGTAGTTGAGACTTGATTAGAATCTGAAAGCAACTCAAAAAAAGCTAATCTTGATGCTAACTATATGCATGTATCAAGACATTCATAGCATCAAGACATATCAAGACGTTCATAGGGAAATCAGGGCGCAGGGGATCTTGTATCTAGAAGTCTGTTTTTCCTCCGGTCTTGCCGTTTGATCACCTTGTGACTCTCGGGTCAGCACATTCACCAGAGGTCTACAGTATCGTGTAATCACTGTTTCATATTTCAGGGATCTCGGTGCTTGGAGTCCTACAAGTGTAGTCATAGCGCTTTGCATAATTGCGTGAAACTGCTAGCGGAAAACTTTTGCTTGTCCGGCCACAACATTGTGACCTGCGTCATGGAACAGTGCTTGCCGCAGGAGAATGCCTCTTCGTCGAAAGGATCCACGGCTATAGCCTACAGCTGGACTCGGCCGCCATCGCAGTGATCTTGAACGAATCGGACATCATACTTTCTGATACTTGATTTGTCCAGGAATAATAAACAAAAAGGCTCTGGATCTTCATACCGTGCCATGTCCATCATCGCACTCAGAAACTGCAATTGATGATGCTGTGTGTCACAGTGAACTTGCGTAGAGCTCTCGGGAGATCGTTGCAACAGAAACATGAGTATCACAAACAATTGCCCACTTGTGCTGAAGCTCATCTGAGTATAAGCATGGATTTGCTTCGAGGACAGTCTAGAGTCCGGAAGCGAAAATCGGCATTGTGAAAGTAGGGAGCTAGTAGCTGTGCAAGATTTTGTGGGATCGGCTACTTGTCCATATTTATGGTACAATGCGATGGCTTTAGGCACCAGGCCGGACTTTAGGCACCAGGCCGATTGAACAATCGAGAGCCGCTGCAATTTGAGCCATCCCGAAGACATGAGACTCAGGACAATGCGCTGCTTCAAGTCGCCAGCTGCAGTGAGAGTGCCGGAGTCATGGCACATGCCCACTGAGAGACCAGAAGCCCCGTGTCACATTGTTGTGGCCGGACAAACAAAGCATTTTCGCGGCAGTTTCATGCCATTATGCAAAGCGCTTGCAAATTTGTCAATCCCAACACGACTCAAGAAGCGAATTGGTTCATCGACCTGCCTCCAGGGGAAGTACGTCGAACATTTAGTGTATAGTCAACACTGAGCTATATGTATACTAGTTCCGAGTCCAATTAATTCTACAACCACTCCTTCGGAGGCCGATTTTCGTCCGGATGAGATCCCAGTATTGAATCAGGGGTCCTGTCCCCAGCGCTTTGTCCCCGCAAGCCGTTTCATGTTCAGCAGATTTCATGTTTTCAATTCACCGTGATTCACCGTGACAACCCATCTCACTAATTCTTACATACAGTATTTTAAGGTTACGGGTGTTGCGTCAATCCGGAGTCAGACGTTCTCTATAAGTAAGGATCGCCATTCAAACCATTCTATTGGAATCTCACGCTCCTCACTGCGCTTCTATGCCTGACATGGTCGGACTCGGTGCTCTGTCCGTGCTAGACGTTACTCTTGCTGCGCTGGGCGTGGCCCTAGTAAGCCTGATACTCTCAGGCAAGCGCAAAGGCCCTCTTCCTCCAGGACCCAAAGGCTGGCCTATTATCGGAAATGTCTTGGACATGCCCTCTTCGTACCAATGGAAAACGTACACCCAATGGGCGGAGAAATGGGGTGAGCATACGTGATGCCGCGTTTCGTCCATTCCAAATTTGATTTCGACTGTTGAATTGCACAGGTGATATCATATCTGTTACACTCCTCGGTCAACCTATCGTCGTTGTCAGCTCGCTAGAGCATGCCACGGAGTTGCTCGAGCGACGAAGCACGCTATATTCGGACCGACCGATACTGACTGTCGGGGGAAAGATTGTCGGATGGGATCAAATTGTTGTGCTGACTCCTTATGGTCCGCGCTTTCGTGAAGCACGCCGTTTGCTGTCACGATGGATCGGCTCCAGAAGTAGTGTGGCTCGTTTTGCGCCAATGTTACAGCACGAAACAAGCAAATACCTCTTGGACCTCCGGCGCAGCCCGGAGCAATTTGTAAATCACATTAAAAAGTGAGCATCCCTATGAATCGTGCTCACTGCGCCGCTCATATCGGTATGGTCAATGTAGGTCAGCTGCAGCGATCATCCTCACGATGACGTACGGGTACCAGATCAAAGGCGACAAAGATCCTTTAATCGAGATTGTCGACAGAGCAATGGCTCAGTTCACCGTGCTTACCACTCCGGGCACCTTTCTTGCGGACATTTTCCCGAGTTGTATGCAGCGAATCCTCTCTTCTTCTCCCTTTAATTGCTCATATGTTTAAGTGGAGCATGTCCCATCCTGGGTACCGGGTACTGGCTGGAAGCAGAGGGCTCTAGGTGCCCGTCAAGACACAGACGCCATGCTCGATGTACCATACAGCATTGTTGAGAAAGAAATGGTAAGAAAAAGATAACCCGCTTTCACCGTTCTTACCGGTTTCATGAATTCGCCAGGCCGCGGGCACAGCTACTCCCAGTTTCCTGTCGGTGAACATAGAGGGCAATCCGGATCCTACTGAGGAATTTCAAAGTACTCTTAAGACTACTGCTGGTGTACTCTACGCTGGTGAACATCTTACTAGAAAATTTTCTCACCCAAAACGCTGAATCGATATGCTCTGGTTTCTAGGTGGCTCTGATACCGTATGTAGTTCATTCTTCGTCCGAATTTATCCTCGTTAACCTGACCTCTGCCTAGACTGTCTCTACTCTTCACAGCTTTTTCTTGGCCATGGCCTGCTATCCTGAGATACAAAAGAAAGCGCAACAAGAGATTGATGCTGTCATTGGAAACGATCGACTCCCGACCCTAGCTGATCAGGATTCGCTACCTTATGTCAATGCAGTGTGCGCCGAGCTCCATCGCTGGAACCCTGTTGCTCCGCTCGGTGGGTACCCGCCCTTTCTCAGAAGTACACCTGTAGCCTAAATAAAAGGAGGATGCAGGCGTTACCCATCGTCTTGTTCAAGATGACGTCTACGCAGGCTATTTCTTCCCGAAGGGCACTCTGATCACAGTAAACGCCTGGTCAGCGCTAATTCATAGCGAGCCCTTGCTGTTTTTTTATGATTAATGTTTGTTGCAGGAAAATCCTCCATGATCCTGAAACCTACAAGAATCCATTGGACTTCAACCCTGGTAGGTTCATGGGCACGGAACCCGAAACAGATCCTCGTCCTGTCGCATTTGGATTCGGCAGAAGGTACATCCACTTACGTTGGCTGTGATTCTGAAAGCTGACTCTCCCCTTTTCAGAATCTGCCCTGGTAAGGTTACACATTTATTGGAACAAACTTTTCGCCTTACATTTGTTCAGGTCTCAACTTCGCGGACGCATCCATTTTCCTATCATGCGCTATGATGCTTGCTGTGTTTGATGTCTCGAAGGCTGTGGAGTACGGGAGAGTGATAGAGCCTGTTGTCGAGTATACGAGTGGACAAATCAGGTGTGTTTGTTGGTGTCTGTACGGGGTTGAACATTAATCTAGGATCTCCAAGCCATCCGGCCCCGTTCAAGTGTTCGATCAAGCCCCGGTCTGCGAAGGCTGAAGCTTTGCTGAACTCGATAGACTCTGAAGCTTCTCATAACTAGAGGGCCCTGAGAGCCTTGTAGTGGCGTATATATATATATGTCTTTGTACAATTATGGTAAGACGTGATTGTGATGTAGTTTCGTCCATAACTCGAACGGGCACTTATAGTCCTACCTTCTAGCATATGCCGAATATGCAGGCCGCAATGAATAACTACTTGTATCGTTAGTGTACGTCGACCGGGCCCGATTGCGGCCGCCCAATTGGACAGTAATACAGTTCTTGAGCGTCCACTGACGGTGACTATGTCATGCTTACCTTTACCGGCCAGCATCAAGATTTAGTGTCCTTAGAGATTTCTTCATCATCTCGCTGGACTAGTCCAAGATCTTGGTCCTGATTTTTTGATAACGCTCAAAGTTTTTGGCGTCTAATCGGATAAGTGCTAGACTACGAGCGACTTGGCGATCTCACGCTAAGGGGAAGAGCCTGATATGAACCTTGTGGTCAATTGGTTGGTAGTATCTTCTACCGCGCTCTTACTCCTTTGTGACATTGGAGACTTGTACTTAACGCTTGGAATAGCTCTGCTGACGTCTGATCGCTGGTAGGATCCCTATTCCGGCTGAACAATGAGATAGGTACGCCCATTTTCCCAGTCAGCGCGAACACACTTATTGATTTATTATCTCCTCTAGTAGTACGAAACCCAGTCTAAGAATGTAACTGTAAAGACTTAAATCGGACTCAACATTGGCTCGTATTTTAGTGCAGAGGTCTTTGACAATATAGGCTTGAATCTATGACGTTTCCTGGAACAAATGCTGAGTAGCTGAACCATTCTAGTCTTTAGGTTCCCTGATTCATACTCGGCTTGCATCTGTAACGATTTTATGGTTCAGCGTCGCGACAAGATTTATAGCCGTGATGTTTGTTTATTTTTTGGGAGAGTCGCAGTCGCACTAAATTGACTTCGTCCGACGCTTTCTAGTCGCGCTTGCAGACAAGATTGTTGATGCGTCTCGCGCGCTCTTTCGGTCTCACGTCCCCCTTTCCCTGGAGCATCTGTATATTGTGTGCGATACTGCATTTGGTATGTTGTGTCCAGACTGACGAGAACCTTGGTACGGATCAAAGGCCATCACTTTGGAGACCCTGTATTGCTTCTGGGTGGGGTTAAATAAACCATATGTACGCATGCGTATGCGTATTCTGGTAATTTATGACTTTCTTATAAGATCTCTTCTCATCAAGGCGCTTAGCCAACACTGCGCTATGATTACCCTCTCAGCTCTCTCTCTGCTAGATTGTGCTGTGGTAGCACTGACGGTTATTCTGCTCAAGAATGTGATCACAGGCAAACGCAAGGGTGCACTTCCTCCCGGGCCGAAAGGCTGGCCTATCATCGGTAATGCCTTGGGCATGCCCACCTCTCATCACTGGAAAACATTCACTGAATGGAGCGAGAAATGGGGTGAGCACATATTCTCATCTTCGTTTACTACATTTTGGTCACATTGTCCCGTGTGGTTCGCTTCTTAGGCGAGATGACGTCTTTTACAATTTTCGGCCAGCCAATGGTGATGTTGAACTCGCTAGAGCACGCCGTTGAACTTCTAAACCGGCGAAGTACACTCTACTCCGATCGTCCGATCCTCCTAGTGGCCGGCAAGCTTGTAGGGTGGGACCAAGTTATTACATTGGCACCGTACGGTGCACAGCACCGTGAGCATCGCCGCTTGTTGTCGCGCTGGGCCGGAACTCGTAGCAGCGTTATGCGCTTCGCGCCAATATTTGAGCGCGAGGTCACCAAAATGATTGTGCGTCTCGCGCATCAGCCGGACGGGCTTGTCGAAGAACTCAAGAAGTGAGTGGGAAACCCCAGATTGATGTTAACATATGTTGACACAATGCTCTCCCAGGATGGCTGGCGCTATCATCCTAGACATTACCTATGGATACAGAGTGCAGAATGACGATGATCCTCTGGTCCGCGTTGTGGATTTAGCAGCGGCAAATTTCTCTGAGCTGACCACACCGGGGGCCTGCCTTGCAGATACTTTCCCTATCTGTGCGTATGTGAAAACCGTTCTTTCCATTTCCTGATGGATTCCATAATCAGTGAATTATGTGCCTGCATGGATGCCGGGTGCTGGCTGGAAACGGAGAGCTTTTGCTGCTGCTCGGGACACCCACTCCATGCTTGAGATACCCTATGCCATGGTAATGGAACAAATGGTTAGTGGGCGAGCATGATGATGACAACTTTCTGACTGTGCCCATGTAAATCATGGACAGGCTGCTGGTTCTGCTATTCATAGCTTTACGTCAGACAGTCTGGAAGAGAAGAGCAGTGAAGAACATCACAATAATGTTAAATCAGCTGCAGGTGTAATGTACGCGGGTAAGGCATATTCATTCTGCATGTATCCCCAGTATTTCATGCATAATCTGTTATCAGCTGGCGCCGCCACCGTGTGTTGCCACCTGTCGTCTTTATATGCTGATCTTACTATTTATTTCAGTCTGTGGCCACAATGCACAGCTTCTTCCTAGCTATGATTTGCTTTCCTGAGGTGCAGAAGAAGGCGCAACTAGAAATCGAGGCTGTGGTTGGCACCGATCGACTTCCGACTCTAGCTGATAGAGATTCTCTCCCATTCGTCAATGCCCTTTGCACTGAGCTTCATAGGTGGAATCCTGCCCTTCCACTTGGTATATGGCAAAACTTCAGTTTGATTCCGTTGGCCTAATAGTATCTTAGGCGTAACTCATCGGCTCATTGAAGATGATGTATACGAAGGTTACCATTTCCCAAAGGGCACACTGTTCACTGTGAATGTTTGGTACGTACTCTTCATGCCGATTCGTTCTATACTCTACGGATTGAACGATTGAACAGGAAAATTCTCCATGATTCAGTGAATTATAAAGATCCTTTGGAATTCAATCCTGACAGATTCATAGCTTCGGGCGAAAAGGAGTCCGAGTTGGATCCACGCAATGTCATGTTTGGATTTGGTAGACGGTTTGTGGCCACTAATCACTAGTTTGTGATCGCTGACCATCCATTCGTCCAGTGTCTGCACAGGTGAGTTTTACCACATGACTAACCTTCAATGTGACTTATCATGACACAGGTATTCATCTCGCCGATGCCACCTTGTTTATGGCATGTACGCGAACACTGGCCATTTTCAACCTCTCGAAGCCGATCGAGAATGGGAGAGTGATAGAACCCGTTGTTGAATACCAGACCGGAACGATCAGGTAAGTGCTACACTATTGAGCTTACTTTCGCTTATGTCTTCAGCGACCCGTAGCCATCCCCCTTTGTTCAAATGCGCAATCACGCCTCGTTCGGCCAAAGCGGAAGCACTACTACATTCACTGGAAGTTGAAGCACTTCAGGAATAATCAAGTCGATTGCCTTATCTTGAAACGCAGCCAATCAAATTGTTCACAGTATTTAGCGTTCTGTAGCTCGCGATCCCGATCTTATGCAAACTACTACACGTTCTGCTCCACTACGGCGTGCGATTCGGTGCAATTCTCGCTGTCCTCGAGCATCCGTTGGTATGAAGTCCGTATGTTCATCCGTATCCATGATGCTTGCTTACAGAACTTGTGGCCATCCAAACCATTCAAGTGCTTGATCGCTATTCTTACTCCTGACCAAATTGTGAAGTTTGTGCCGTCTAATATATAGTACTTTAACTAGTACCTGTTATCGTAATACTTCTCGTATCAGATTCAGTTCTGCGGGCATCTCGCCATCCAGAACTCCCGCAATCAAGTTTTTCGCTGCCATTGTTGCCATACCAAGCCGCGTCTCCGTCGTCGCACTGCCAATATGTGGGAGTACAGCACATCTAAAACGGGGACATGATCGATCTTCCGCCTGTAGCATATCTGTCGAGTCACTCACCGAGGCTCCTTAACGAGCGGGTGCTCTGTGGTGACATTCGGCTCGCCCTCCACAACATCGATCCCTGCCCCCCACAGCCACCCTTCCCTGAGCGCCTTCGCGAGCGCATCCGAATCGACAAGCGTGCCCCGAGCTGTGTTGACCAGCACGGCCGTCTTCTTCATCTGCTTCAGGAATCCCTCGTTCACGATATGCCGCGTGTCCGGCGAGCTCGGTGCGAGCACGAACACGACGTCGCTCCCGCGCGCAAGCTCGTCCAGCGTGACGCGGCGCACGCTCTGGAGCTTGTGCGTCCGCGCTAGCTCGGCGTCGCGCGCGGTGTTCGGCGCAGAGCCGGGATTTCCGCTGTAGAGACAGTGTGTGAAGCCGAAAGGGATGAGTCGCGCGAGTGTCGCCTGAGCGATGCGCCCAAACCCGATAAAGCCTGCGGTCCGCGTTTGGTGGATCCAGTTTGCGCTCAGCTGTGGACCGCAGAACTGGAAGGGCGACCATGGACAGTTTGGCCACTGGTGAAACGGTGATGTGAGCGTCGATCTCGAAAATAGCCATTTTATCAACTTGCCTCCCCCTTGCTGACTATAGTGGTAGTCTCTCTTGCATTTCGGCCTGCCATGAGTGCGAGCATTATGGATACGTCGGCCACTATGAGGTGTGAGTTGAGGTTAACTCAGTCAAACGTAGAAAATGAATGGTCACCTGCGTCTGTGAGGACGTCAGGCGTGTACCCGAGTTTGACATTCCTCTGAGCTAATTCCTTCAGGTTGATATGCTCTACATAATGCATATATGTTAGACTTAGGTCCACCACATGCTGCAACGATCACTAGTACATCTCGCGCAAAACATTCGGCTAATGTTAAATACAAGTAGTCTACTTACCATAGCCGACAGACATCGTGGAGACTACGCGCAAATTGGGTCCCGCTACAATTAATTAGCCCACTAGCGGAACACACCATACATAAGTTCATACCTGTATCCAAAAACTCAGCATCGACCTGTAGAAATGTTTGATCGTCCATGGATATATCAGCACCTACACTTCACATGCGACACACCTTGCCATCACCTAACATCACTAGAACACCTGCTGCCCCACAAATGTTCTCAAGCAGCCATTTTCGACTACAAGCCTCTGTCTCCGAATGCCAGGTTACCACCTGCGGGGAGACGAGGTAAGACGAAAACTGCGACGGTATTGCCCCTTCGCAGACTCACATCCAGGTCTGGCCGGTTAAACAATGGCATCACATCAGGACCCAAATGTCGGGCGATCACAACTTTCGGTCGAGACATTGTGTTAGTGTCAAGATGCGCTGATATGGCCGAGAGACGACGAGCAAGGGATTCAACAGACATGGAGCAGGGCAGAGTGATCGATTGTGTGGGGCACGCTTATCGAGGAGATAATAGATCGGAACCAATGCTGGCGCGAAAGACGATCCCTCGGGCCTCCGATTCCGCGAGCGTGTGGATATGTCAACTTAAGTCAGAGAGGCAGAGAAGAGGATCAACTTGACAAAAGTAGCGGTCGGCCTGCAGCTATACTCATGTGCATCTGATGATAGCACAGACTGAGAATGCCCATATGTAAGGTTCCACGCAGTGCAGGGTCTCTCTGCAACTTATGTCACAGCACACGTTCACACCGTCCGGGAAAACCTGCGAAAGCGACAACTTAAAGTGCTAACTAGAGAAAACCAGCGGGGTGTCAGCTTTTGATGTAGCGGCGTTGAAAGACGCTGGAATGGCTACTCACCTTCTAAGGCCTATACAATCGGATTATACTGCTTCACCTTTCAAACCACTGTCTCTTCATCCCAATGTACTTGGCGGTCCGTGTCGTCGTCGACGGTCCTCGCAGACGTGCGCACCGTCAATCAGAGCCTTTTGCGCCGTACTGGTCCCAGTACTCCTGCATACTTTCCAGTTCCTCCTTCCGACCATGTTGCTCCAGCCAAGCCATCAAGTGCCTCATTTTCAAAATGGTGGGGACAGTGCCCTTGCCTCCCAGAGTGCTCTCCACTTCCTCAATCATGCTCTTACCCTCCCGGCCAACTTCTTGTCTGTCCAGCAACAACACTGCTCCGACAACCTCTCCACCTTCCCTCTTCACCGTCTCAATCGCACCTCGGATTGCGGTGCCCGCGGTAGCAACATCGTCAAGCACGAGAACGCGTTTACCTTTCACAGGTGCCCCAATCATCATGCCTCCCTCACCATGGTCCTTCGCCTCTTTCCGATCAAAGGCAAAGCCCACATCGATCCCATGATCACGGTGAAGCAGCAGAGCAGTGCCTGCGGCAAACGGAATGCCTTTGTATGCGGGCCCGAAGAGAACATCAAACTGGGGAAGACCAGGGGACGTTTTCAACGAGGCAGCGATCGTCGCCGCATAAGCGGAGCAGAGCGTGTCGAGAACCGGGCCGTCAGCGAGAAGACCTGCGTTGAAGAAATACGGAGACGTCCTGCGGGGACGTTTACAAGTCGGACAGATGGCGGGAATCGACAACGTACCGGCCAGACTTGAGGACGAAAGATCCGAACTTAAGTGCGCCCACTGACATGCCATGCTCGATGAGCGATGTCTGGTACTTGTCCAACGTAGCCATCGTAGAACTCTGAAAAATACAGACGCAAGCTCAAATTGAGCCCAAAATCAAAGGGTGAACATTCCAAAAATGGACAAGTGCGGCTCGGCCACGTGAGCATCGCCCGATGTGGTCATCCGCGCTCAGGTGTCGAGTCCAGAGTCCGAGGATCTGAATGCTCCTCTCTTTTCCTTGGTTTTTCCTTCACCTGCCAAATGCTCTGAACTGGCTTTCACCGCATATACGTATTCACTTCAAGGTTCTTGCTGAAAATAGGTTCTATTGATCCGGCTAGCGGCTATCCCAAAATATCTCTAATTGTAAAGCTGCGGTTTTCTCCACTGTGTTGTCAGTGTACGTCTTTTTTGCTCGTCCTCGTACGCTTATCGACACAAACGTTTAGGTCTAAGTCATAATGACTTTGTAGAGATGCGCGATTAACGCCACAATAAAGACACACACACTCGGGCTGAGTACACTCAGTACATCCGAAAGTTGCCGCTACGCACCCATGGGCTTGTCAACCATTCTCATTGCTGCCCAATTCTTTGTTCATCGACACGAGCGCAATAATCAACGACAGGACGTCGAAAAGGCCGAGCTACGTCGCGAGGAACCCTATCATGAACATTATGACGATTCGGCTCCCAACGTTGAGGAGCATGACGGGCGCGAAGGCGATCTGGTGGTGGAAGAGGAAGATGAGGATGAAAGGGAAGACAGAGATGGCGAGGAACTGGAAGATGTCACCCTTCACGCAAGTTCATCTCAGTCACGCTCTCGCCGATTCGGCCGTTTCTCCACACTGGGCAGCACGCTCTCCGGATCGAGTATCACACGTACCTGGACCGGGTCTTTCTCCTCCCATCCCTGGCTCACCAGAGCAAAAACACTTCTATTTCCACGAACTCATCCCGAAGAGCTAGAGCGTTATGTCCCCACATATCGTTATTCACCCATAATCTCCGGAATTTTGATCCCTTTTTCTATTCTACTTGAAGTCCCTGGCCTTACCGAATACTGGTATGTGATGACCGACGACAACGAGACAGTGGACAGCCAGCCAAATCCTCCAATCCTGATTGCCGGTATAGCTATTTCGATCGCGTGCGCAATATTTGCGAATATCTGTCTTATCATGCGATTCGCCGAGAAGTCGGTAAAAGCAACCACTCTTTGGTGTATTTTCTTTCTGACAATGCACGGTCAGTCGATGATTATTTGCTGCCCCCTATTGCGCTTAGCCTCGTTTTTCTAGATGTCATCGACATCATTGCCGTCACAGTGTTTGGTGTTGTGCATCGAAAGAACGATGGATTCACGTACGGACAGGCGTTCTGGATGACATTATGCTCAACCATCGCATCAACGATCACAAACATCACCCTTATCTTGGATTACATTCGGATCCCCGACTTTGCTCATTCTGGTAAGCACCATGTCACTGACATGATATCAACATCGCTAGATACGGCTGATATAGGGAGCGGCTTGACGCGCAAGCAACGTTCGCTCATGATCATGGTGATCGTCGTGCTGATGTATCTCGCGCTGGGCGCGGTTGTCAACTCGCGATTGCTGTCGCTCAGCTTCATTAACGGCCTGTACTATTCGACGGTCTGTATCGAGACGATCGGATTTGGTGATATCGTTCCGAACACGACGGGTGGGCGAGTATTTGCATGCATGTACATTCCAGTGGGGATGGTCATCCTTGGGATTGTCATCTCAATCTGTCGGAGCACCGTGTTGGAGGGGCTGAATGTAGGATACCGCAAGCGCCTGCGGCGTTTGCGCGAACGAAGGCGGGCCGCGCGCCAGGTACGGCGTTGGAAGACCCGGTGGCGCGATGCGATTGCGTGGCGACTACGTGTGCAGAGCTCACCGGTATGGGTGTCTGACAAGGAGTGGCGAGAAAACGAGGAAGGCATACGGTTTGTCGGTCTGGGAGGGGAGGCTGAGGGTGCGGATGCAGAGTTTTGGTTTATCCGCGCCTTACGTGTTGTGGGCATGCGCAAGGCCCGGTCGCCGTCCGTACGCTCTCCGCACCACGTTCCTGGGCATCCGCATGGGAAGCACCTGAATATCAACGCGCTGACACGCCAACAGCTTGGAGAAGCCGCGTTGGAGGCGGGTATTCCGCCAGACAAGTTCATCTACGTGAGCCCGGCGCGCCGAATCGCGTTGGGGGATGTGCAGGAAGCCGATACGCAGCCATTGCCTCACAGAGGGTGGCCGGCAAACGTGAAGACGCCGACGGAGGCGCAGCTGGGTCGGATGGCGACGATCCTCACGAAGGTCGCGTTTGCGGTCAGTGGACGCGATAGATGCGTACCGGGCCCCTCGTCTGAGGTCACTGCAATGGCTCAACATGCCGCTTCAGAGGGGCACAATACACGCATACACGAGCGAAATTCCGCGGAACGCGTACAGGCAGTAAAACCGAGTTCCTCTGTCAAGATTTCTGCACCCACTTCTTGGTATCGTAAGCTGGCCGCTCGTTCCAAGAAGTGGCTTGTTATACTGCGAAATAAATTGCATCGATGTTTCGTCAATGAACAGAAAAATGCCAGTACTACCAAGGTGGGTCGTGTGTTATGAGGTAAGTTGATATGCTGATATGTCGTGAGGACAGCTCACTGTTGCGTGGGGAGTATTTTTACTCTTCTGGTTTGTGAGTATATGCGCATCTACTACAGGTTTAGCAGCGCTGACGTTGCTTAGGTCGGCTCTGCCATTTTCAGCGCTACCGAAGGCTGGTCTTATGGTATCGCTATGTATTTTTGTAAGCCTTTATCGCCTTCCATGCCTACTCGTGCTCCTCAGCTTGCTTCGCTTAGGTGTCATCTCGTTCACCACGACGGGATTTGGTGATTACGCGCCCATGACTCCTGCAGGCCGTTCCATTTTCGTTGTGTGGGCGTTATTCGGTGTAGGGACATTGACAATTCTTGTTGCGGGTATGTAAATGATGATACTCAATTGGCGATTCCTACTGATCCTATTTGTCAGTCATCGAGGATGCGGGGTCATCGCGATACCAAAGTGCGATGCATTCGAGGGCATTTGACAAGGCTGTGGCCAAGTATCGCAAGGACATAGCTCGGGAAACAGCCAGAGTATCTGATGCCGATTGTGACCTACACAATATTGCTGGAGTCAAAGACGCGGATGCAGAAATTACAACTACGAACGGTCGTACGACCCCTGTAACTACGGAAGATGTTGCCTCACGACTCGACGAGGCACAGAAAGCTACCCAATGTCAACTCGAGGCGTTGCCTGGAGACATCGTTACTCGTGCGCGAGTTTTTCGCGATTACTTGCGCTATTTCGAAGGCGATAGCTCCCAAAATGCCGACCCTTCTGCTGAGGGCGCTCAAACTAACGTTCCAATCGAAGTCAGGCGACTCCTGGACGAGATTGTGAAATCCGAGGGTGTCGGCGAAAGAGTGAAGAGAGAGATTTTACAAGATAGTGATGCAAGACGGGTGCGTACTTCTTTATCCCGATGGTTTTGATACTCATGCATATCCTCTAGACTTTGTTTATACTCGGTGTTGAGCGTGAGTCTTCAGTAGCCATAGCAGCCATGTATCGGGCTTCGTTTGACATGCCACTTCTGTAGGCATCTTAAGGGGAATGATTGGCTCGGCGCAGCAAGCCTTGGACTCTGTCGCTGATCGCAATTCCCTGCAGGCTATTAGTGACGGATTGAGGCATGAGGCCGATGCAAGCAGTTCAGGTCCCAAGGGAACTCCTGATGCGGGTTCGATTTCCACATTTCAAGGAACCAGCTCCTCGTCACCGACACCACCCTCATCCTCTTCCTTAGCAATTCTTCAAGGTCAACATCAAAGTTGATATGTGTCTAGATTCTGTACACGATTATTTTTCTAGCTATCCCCGACATTTACGACATGATGATCCTGTGATCATACCCTCCTAGTTGTAGCATTATACATATGTCGTTCCATTGTTCTAGTGCTGGCCTCAGCAGCACTCCTCTGCATCTCACCCATATCTATATCCGCATCTGTTCAATCCGAACCATTCACTTACTGTAGCACCATAACGACATCATACACTGGACTGACAGATTGGTACGCCCAAGCTTGTGCATGTAATTTATTCGAGTACAAAGGACAGGAATCAAACCAGTGCTACGTCCACGCCCTCCGTACGCCAATCCTACGTACATCAAGACGAGACCAGGAAACAATATCGTTTCACAAACGTGACATTTCAGATTCAATGCTGCGCAACAGAGCTGCCGCCCTTGGTGACCTTAGCTTGATGGAGGATCTGAACGGCAGCGGATGGCTAAGAACGCGGAATCTTGAGCGGAACACGGGTAATTGTTCAATACCGCTCCAACATACCTGACAGTTCCTGCTGTGAACTCAATGACTGGCTCTACGACCTTTCCTTCTACTATCGGCTTCGTAATGTCGAACACAGCCAATGACATTGCGCACGAAAGAAAGAGAGACGCATCGGCGACATGGACTCCTACGAGCGAGTATTAGATACACTCGTCAAAAGAAGTGTCACAAGAGATTTACCGGGACAGACTCTGATTTTACGTATGGTCACATTAAGTAAAATGGAGGCTCTCACTTTCCGTACGCACCGTCTTCCGAAGCCAAACGCCACAGTACGCGGATCCAGTTCCGGTTCTCTACCATTGGAGGGAGCATAGCGGTCCGGGTTGAACATGAAGGGGTCGTTGTACGTATTGGGATCATGGAGGAATTTCCTAACTCGCGCGGGTCAGTGTCACAGAACGCGCAACTCAACATGAAGCCTGACTCGCCAGATATTGGCAATTACGATCGTGCCCTTCGGAAGCATATATCCAGCGTAGGTGTCGTCCTCCCTCAGGCGATGAGGCATACCTGTAGCAATTGAGGATTACAAAAGTGATAGCGTGAAATCACATACGAACCCAGAGGGCCAACTGGATTCCAGCGCAAGACCTCCTGACATAGGGCGCTGACATAGGCCAGCTGGTCTCGATCAGAAATATTTGGAAGCCTATCATATCCAACGACCTTGTCAATCTCTTTTTGAGCCTTCTTTTGCACCTCAGGGTAGCACATCATAGCAAGATAAAAACTCAGGACGCTAGCCATAGACTGGAAGATGCATTAGCAAGAAAAATTCTGGAAATCAGAATACATGCCGTATCTGCCCCGCCTATAATCACAATTCATTGCTGACTCAATGAGAAAATTAAAGTAGCAAGAACGTACCTGCATAAAGTGAGGCGGCAGCGCTTTTCACATCATGCTGAGACTTCGGTGTGGAATTAGCTTCCATGAAAGTCGACGTGAAACTGGGAACGACACATCCCTCCGCCTTGAAATGCAGCCCAAAATCAGACCACAGGAGAATAAAATGTAAGACTACACACTATCTGCTTTGTCACCATGTCATATGGCACATCAAACATTGCCGCCGTTTGTCGACCTGCTCTCAAAGCCCGCTTCTTCCAATCGGCGCCCGGAAACCACATAGGAATATGTTCCACTGACAAGTGACCAGTCAAAAATAGGGAAGCTGATTATCGAGAGACGGGATATTTACGTATTGGAAAGAAATCAGCAAGAAAAGCGCCTGGAGCCGTGAGGGCGGAAAACTGAGCTACAGCGGTATCCACCAAGTCCACCAGAGGATCCCCGTTTTCTTGAACTTCGTACCCATAGATCATCTTCAGAATGACGGCACCAGTCGTTCTGCAGCGTGGCTTGTGTAAAGCAAGGCGAATTGTTTTTGAAAAAAAACTGCAATAGCTCACCTACGCACTTCTTCGATCAGTGAATCTGGGTGTCTCGCGAGTCGTACTAAAAAGTGAGATGTCTCAAACTCCATTGTTGGTACAATTCGCGCCACATCTCTGCGCGTGCCGATCCAGCGCGATGTCATCCGACGGTATTCGCGGAAGGATGAGCCGTACGGAAGCAACACAAGGGTCTGGTCCCATCCAGCAATTTTACCCGCAACAGTTAGTACCGGCCTGTCAGAATAGAGTGTGCCTCGACGGTCCAACAGTTCGAGAGCGTGCTTCGACGAGTTCAAGATAACAATGGGCTGGCCGAAAAGAGTCACGGAAATAATATCCCCTGAGTAGAATGCGTCATTCAAGAGCTGTAGACATAATTGTGGTGAACTTGCCCCATTTTTCGCCCCATTTTGCGAATGTTATCCATTCATACGAAGTAGGCATGTCCAATACATTCCCAATGAATGGGAAGCCTAGAGGTCCCGGAGGTAAAGTACGCTGTCTCGTACCTGTAAACAAATGTCTCAGGAATACTATACTAAAAACCGCCAAGACAGGGCCTAAGATCGCAGGGAGGATAGCGTGTGTCATTCTAGAACCGTGCAAGTATCGAGGAGAAGTTGAATGTGTCTTTATTGTGCTCAACGTAAACGAGGAGATGAATATGGAACTCACTTGAATCGCGGCACACGGTTTTGTAGTTGTCACACAGCCCCTATGGATTGCACGAAGCGGGACGAGCGGGCAAGTGCGGGATCTAACATCGGATGGCTTCGATGATACTTGGCAAGAGAACAATGATGCAAATTCTGTCGGACTGCATAGACACTGGAAGCAGTGAATGAACATCCATGATCCCCATAGATTTTAAGAATGCAGCTGCGTTGTTCGATAAACCGACATTTCCTAAAATCAACCCCTTTGAGCCTGATAAACCTTGACTCGAACTTAGGAAACTCATGACTGCTAAGCTCGGGACGATGCCTATGCTTTGCGTGTTAGAGAAGACGGGCGGGAAAGAGTCAGGAGCCCCTAGTGTCCCGACAATGGACTGTATTCTGAGGGCTAGCGTGTACGCATTGCGGGGCCCAGATGAAAGATGCAATGTCGACGCCGCAAAAGTCAAGTAGCACAAATAGCCTGAATGATAATGCCACAGAGGTTTCGCGATGTACAAGCATCAAATTTGTCAAACCAGCAACGAAAGTGTGGAATCGAATACAAGTTTGTTACCGCTTCACCAAGCGAAGGAAAATATTCAAGATTCGGGGGGCGTAGGACTACAATGTCACAGCGAACATCATATATCCGGCTTACATCAACTATGAATCGAGATCTATGCAACGCATCAGCGTCTCAGCTTTCGCTGACCGCGGCATGATAGAGCACTGAAACGGGCGCGGATGACTGCATACGGTCAGTTCAAAGCACATCGCCCATATTTCAATGAACGGACCTGATTGTTCCGCTTGTGTACTTTATGACAGGCTCGATGACACCCTCCTTGTTCACGGGTTTCGAGAGATTGAAAAGGGACAGGGTTCTGGCGCATGTCAGAAAAATAAACGCATCCGCGAAGTGCATGCCTATGTCAGGTTAAGTAGGCAGGCATATGTGATGTTTGTCAATAACTACCTGGGCAAGTACTACATGCGCAACATTTAGGTCCACATCAAAAGCGATATATGAAACATACGAACCGTCTTCCAAATCCGAACACAACGTTACGCGGGTCAAATTCGGGTTCTTTGCTCTCCGTAGCGATATGTCTCTCGGGATTAAACTCCAACGGTTTCTTATAGTGAGTAGGGTCATGAAGGACTTTCCTGGAAGCGGTAGGCATAAGAATCAAATACTAGACAAATCTTATTATCACCAACCAAACATTCACGAGGACAGTTGTTCCCTTTGGCAAAAGATAGCCCATATATACATCATCCTCTGTGAGGCTGTGAGGCACGCCTACGTTTCTGGTCAATGTTGCGGCAAATAGCAGTCTAGCCACACGGCGCACCAAGCGGATTAACGGGATTCCATCGATGAAGCTCGGTGCATATGGCATTGATGAATGGGAGCGAGTCTCGATCACCTAGATTGGGCAATCTGTCGCTACCAATGACAGCATCTAGTTCCGCTTGCGCCTTCTTCTGCACCTCCGGATAACACATCATGGCAAGAAAAAAGCTGTGGAGGGTGGACACAGACTGCCCAGACGTTAGTAAAATGAATGCAATCGAATCCGGGGCACCGTACAGTATCCGATCCACCTGACACAGAGGACGTTAAGACATGTCTTCGGCATAAGATCAGTTAAACGTTACCCGCATATACGGCGCCCGCAGCGTCCATCACATTTTTCTGGTGTTCTTCAGTAATGTCGCCATCTAGACTCATCGAAGTGAAGCTGGGAATGGCAGTTCCTGCGGCCTTGGAGGCGAGAAATTCGACGTGCATTAGATTAGACCAAGCAAACGGCTGAACAGGCCCACCATTCGCTCTTTGACCATTTTATAGGGAACCTCAATCATAGCATTTGTATATTGGGCAGCATGCAGAGCGGTCTTCTTCCAGGCAGTGCCAGGCAGCCAGTCGGGGACGTGCTGGACTAGAAAAGGAACAACAATTGAACGTGGCTGGAAAGGTATTGGGAGATGGGACTAACGGATCGGAAAACTATCCGCAAGAAAGGCGCCAGGAGTCGTTAACGCAGAAAATCCGGACATGGCAGTCTCTACAATGTTGACCAATGGATCTTCCTGGTCTCGCATGTGATACCCGTAGCTGGTCCTGAGGGCAGTGGCAGTGGCAGTCCTGTAGCAAATTTTATATATGTCGATATAACAAAAAAGCATACACTCACTTCCTGAGGCGCTCGAAGAACGTATCTGGGCGCTCCATGAGGTGTACCATGAATTTGGCCGTCTCATCCTCCATAATGGATCCGAACGAATGCGCGATGTCGCTCCGGCTCCCGAACCAGCGCATTAAAAGCCGACGGTACTCCCGAAGGCGCGGGCCGTAAGGCGTCAAGATGACAATTCGATCCCATCCAACCATCTTCCCAGCAACAGTCAAGGTCGGGCGGTCGGAATACAATGCGCTTCGACGATCAAGTAGTTCTGTCACGTGTTTCATTGAGTTCAAGATGACAATGGGCTGGCCAAATAGCGTGAGGGAAATAATATCTCCTAGAAAATGGATGCATTAGAAAGCTATACGAGGATATATGAAGATAAGGTAAACACGAACCCCACTTTTCACCCCATTCAGTAAAAGTCTTGTATGCGTATGAAGATGGCAAGTCCAGTAAGTTACCGACGAAGGGAAGGCCTCTGGGTCCAGGAGGAAGGCGACCCTTCTCTTGGTTTGTAGTCCAACGCTTGAGAAGTACAAGAATTATCACCAAAAAAGCAAAGACAGAGAGCGTGTTAAAAGCAGACATGTCAGGGAAAGAGGGGGAAAGCAGTTGCGAGGACACTCTTTCTTGCACAAAGACAGGAAGAGTCGGTCCCTACGAGGTTTATATAGTACCCAGTGTCAGTGTAAGTCTTCTGTGTGATCACATTGCGCTCATCTATGTAACGTCGGTATCAGGAACAGCCCATGAGGATCCGAGTACTGAAGCAATTGCTCTATTGGACAGCCAAGCTCCAGATTTACTTCCCGAAGCGACACAAAACAGTGGTTTCCTCCTCGGGCGGGGTACGCAACGGCGGAAAATGGGAAGTAGGAGAACAAATGCATCCGTATCAACTGGACTGCGGTAGGAAGTGCAGCAGAAGAGGTTTGGTAGGATGACATCTGCGTCGGTCTAGAACTGGCAATTTGTATTAGATTGCGACAAATTGTGCATGCAGACCTGATGTAAATAAAATACGCACCGTTCATGACTTTCGGCTGCAGCCATTCGCTAAAATCAAAGCTTACGCCGCTGCGCTGGACTAACCACTCTGACAATCACATTTGCTTCCAAGTACTGGATCGCAATGAGGAGAATTTCAGAAGCCAGTGGGAATGTAGAAGACCATAGCGGCCAGGACACCGTAGAGGAACAGGGTATAGATGATTCAGGCCCACATCGGTCGGAACAACTCCTCTGCCATTGGCCTGACATACGTAGAGATTGTAGCTGTTACTGTACTAGTATGAAAGGTGCTAAGAGCGGCCAACTCGAGACAACTGAGCGGCTAAGCAATAGACGCGAAGACACGACGTGACGGCACGGGTCACCGTGTACATCCGAAGCTGATATGCCTGGAAAGTATCTAGCGACTCCCTTTCCTACATTCTACTCATGAATGTACTCTACGTTGTCATAGTTTTCTTCCCCCTAAGAAGTATCATCAACTGTGTTAGCAGCTTCATCCTGGTCAGCTAGTATTCAAATCAACAGGCTCCGTCAAGCTCCCGCTGATCTGCGGTTCAAATTGTGCGCTCACGTATTATGAGTGATACTCATAATTTACCATATCATTCTCATATTATCTCACGCTATGCCAGTTTAAAATCGTGGAGCCATTTGACCCCTCGTAGCTGCGCGGAAGGACACTACGTGCTCTCGTCAAACGGCGGCGCCGGCTCAAAGATGATTGTGCAGCTTTCGTCCGTCCTGAAACACGAGTGAGTGCTTAACGAATGACAGTGAGCAGTCTTGGCAATTAGGAACCATGCTCAAAGGCGCTCCGTGATATTCGACGGTGCGCGGGGTAGGTGTCGAGACATAGCGTTAAAGGTCCCTGCGGATCTCCTCGAAAGCTTTCTGGCGTGTCTTGCTCTGCCGTACAATCGGGGCGCGTGAGACAGAAACCGGTATGTTCTACATTTCTCGTCCAAGCTAGGGTACATAGACGTTATTTGAACTCGTCCTCTTCGGCTCGGGATATCCGTGGAACGCCATATGGCTCACGAGGATGACTCAGTAATATAAAGCCACAAAGAACATAACAACTTCTTGCGATACCGCGCATCCAGCTGTCACCACAACGCGGGAATAGGATGGATTTATCTCGGACTGCCCGACTGCCAAAACCCGCGATCACCGTTTCTATTTTGTGCCCGATATCCACGAATGACAATTTTTATTGTCTCCATCCTCGCTGTCGCCGTTTCATGATCGTGACGTGCTGGCATTTCCTCGACTCGCTGTCGTCCGTACATGGTTAAGGCAGTGTTAAGGCTCGATATAGCTGTGATGGCGTGGAGACTTTATTCACGCGGAGAACCGTTGGAGGTGATGGCGAATCGAAAACAAAGATACAATCAATGTCCGACTCGTTAATGGCTTGTCAATCAGGAAGACAAACCACAAGGAGGAGAAAATGCAAAATCAGGTTTACGTCATTGTATTAATTATAGAGCTTCAGCTCGACGTTCTTTACGAGGTGAGTATCGCACATTCTCGCAAAGTCTACTTCGGCGTTGAATCACAGATATCTTCAACTTGAAAACTTGATCAAGCTCGCGCAAACAAACAAATCGTTCAAGATTCACATTGATGAACCGCTCTGCCCAATGGATCTGGCAGGCAGCATAAGCCTCAGTA